ACTAAATTCTAATCACATTAGCAATTACAGTACAGTGCAGTATCACTTTCCAAGTTTCTGCAGTTAGATTTTCATCATTATTGGTTTATTATTATTTTTTTTTATTTGAATGAGGGTAATTTTAAAACATCCTAATGACTAGAGCTTTTACTTATATCTGTTTAAATATATGTTCCATATGACCAGATGTAGTCTTTCATAGAATTATACAACTAATTCTATTAGAGTTAATTCACAGAGGGTATGTAAATCATTGTAGTTAGTTCATTGAAAACCCAGTTTTTTTCTATAAAAACAATAAACTAGTAAAAGAGCCTTGAATTCTTGTCTCATTTATCACAGTCTAATTAAAATTCTACTGTGTCTTTACAGTCCAAAGACAATTTCTGTGCTATGTTATTATACTTTGAAGTAGGGTGAATGCTTATTGAAAACACATGTGTGAGTTCATACTGTACCTAAAACAGTGGGTATTTCATTATAATTCTTGAATTTGCTTTATTACCAGTAACTTTAAAAGCAAAAATTTTAATTATATATGAAATAGGCTCAGCAGTCTTGTTTCTCTCTCTCTCTCTCTCTCTCTATATATATATATATATATATATATATATTGAGACAGCATCTCACCGTGTAGTTCAGGCTGGCCTTACACTCACTGCATAGTCCAAGCTAGTGTCAAACTCTCGGCAATCTTCCTGCCTCAGCCTCCCCACTGCTGGGATCACAGATGTGTAATCCATGCCTGGCTTCACAATTGTAAGTTAAACAAGGTAGCCAGCTATCTGTGTTGGTTTTCCCAGGACTCAGAAATTACTTAGGGCTTTTACTTTTAAGAGTGGGACAATCTCAAGCATTTTTGGCCTTATAAAACCAAGTGAATACAGGCAAAGAGGGACAAGTCGGTTATCATATTAAATAGGAATGAAATGATGCTGGAGTAATGACTGTTTTAAGAAAAGGAACTTTAAGAAAGTCTTGCTTTTTTAAGTTTTTAAATTTTTCCCCCCTTTCTATCTTCCCATCCCAAAGTCAAGCCAGCACAGTCCTCTCTCTCTCTGGATTCCAAACCAAAACAACAGTAGCAGAAATTAGTCTTGCCAAAGATCAGGAAGGGTAGAGGCTTGAGTTCTGCATCCAGAGTTCTGGATTCAAATTTAGATGACTAGTTTGGTCATTCTCAGGCAGGTAATTCTGTTCCCAAATATAAACAGAAGCATTAATAATAATATTTGTCTGCTAAGGATGCATAAACAGTACCTGTTATGCCTTAAGAATTCAAGGAAATTGTTGTTTATTTTTCCCCCCAGGATGGAGATTGAATTTACAACCTTGCACTTACCAGGCAGGCACTTGTGACACTAAGCTAAACCTCTGGCCCATAATTGTATTGTGATCTTGATTATGACTAGCAACTGGCAGTAAGCCAGTATATCTGTCAATAAATAGTAACTTTGTATCTTGATTCTTAGAAGTACTTGTTACAAATTTCAGCTATGGTTGTTTCCATAATTTAAGAAGTCTCCCTGTATTTTTGTTTATTTTCACAATTCAAGATATGTACACACCAAATGCCAGAAGAAGGTGTTAAACTTAGAAAATGTAGCATTGGTGGAATGGACAAGTGGATAATAAAATTATCACAGTTCTCTTGGATGCTAACATTTTTTTTTTTTGTCTTTTTCCTTTTTATCGGTACCAGGAATCAAACTCATGACTGCCTGCTTGCAAGGCAGGCGCTTTGCCGCTGAGCTAAATCCCCAGCCCCAAGATGCTAACATTTTTAAAAGCAGTCACTATTATGATAAAATTACTTTATCGAATATCTCATTACATGATGTTGAGATTCCATTAAGGAAGACCTGGTAATAATTATTTTCATTTCCAAGGGCTGAGTGCAAAACTGAAAAGCAATTGAGTTTAGTGTGCTAGCAAATGGCAGAACTTTGCTTCTGTTAAAGCTATTGCAAAAGGTGACTGCTGAACAAGCGTCCTGAGTTAGTTATGAAATTCGATAGTATAAATTTGGTTACTTCAAAGTTATTCTAAATGTACCATCTAACATCCTGCCCATATCTTAGGCGGTATAAAGGGTATTAGTGTATCACATTCCCGGTCCAATACATTCTAGTTTTGTGGTAGACATTTTACTAATGAGCAGAAAGTAGACTTGTACTTGATCTTTGATCTTGTAATTTAACTGATTAACTGTGGAATTTAACTGATTTACTGTGGAATACATAGTAAAGATAATTTGTCTGTAATTGAGAGACCTTGATTTTTTCATGTAATTTATCTCTAGCATTTTCCAAATGTCATGTAAAAGATAGCTAAGAAAATGTTAGAATCACTCAAAAGGTTGAGATGGAAATCTGTTCCCTTACAATGTAAACAAGCAGTCAAAAACATGATTGTAAATCTTAAAACATTTTAGAATGAAAGAGGAAAATCCTAGAATTCTAATTTTTGGCTAAATAATTATAAAACTTTTAAGTGAAAAACAAATTATTTTTTCACAATATAAGCTAATAATATATTCTACATTTTGAACTCTTTTAAAGTGCAAGTTATGTTTAACAGTCATTTCTTTTCAGTGGTTTACTTTATGTTTGTTGTAAGACACTACTGATTCTCAGTATCTAATCCATCCTAGAACCTATTTTGTGTCCTAAGAGTTTTATGTAAAATGAAAATGTAGCATGCATGTATCTTATAGTTGTGTGTAGCTAGGTTATTCAGTAGTGAAAAGTATTTATATATTAATTTTAGTGTAGAAATTTACTGTTGATAAAATTTCCCAAATATTTTTGAGTATTTTTTTAATTTCAAGGGTAAGATGCTTTAATTTGTATTTTTCTTTTGCATATGTAGACAAGCTTTCTACAAGTGAAGGAGCACTGTTTCTACCTTGTTCCTAAGTAACCTCATTTGAATCTCACGTGAACTCTGAAAAAAAACAAAAAACAAAACAAAAAAAACTCTTACTTAGGAGTTGCTTAATTTCCTCCGTACATTGCTTCTAATTTATTTTTAGACTTGAACTCATGGACCCTACTAATGGACCTATTTAAAAAAAAAAGTCATTTTAGTATGAAACATTTTCCCAAGGAAGAATTCCCTCAGGTTAAATAAGAATTTGGACTTTTGCCTGGGAGGAAGAAATTGTCACGTCAGTCCTTTTAGAATGCCGTCAGTTATGCAAGTCTTGATACTTCTGCTTGGTTCACTTTTAATTAAAATAACAATAATTCGGAGCTATTATTTACTGGTATTTGTAAATTTTTCGGACAGTGTTTAGGAAATTAGCTACTTTAGTATTCCATTCTGAACTGATGCTCCTCTGAAAGTGTTCCTGTTGGAAAAGAGACAAATTAAGTGTCTTATGTCATCTGTGGTAGGAGAATTAGGCCATAAGCTCTGTGGAAGAATGTTTAACATTGTGTATCCTGTACTGTTAACACCTCTAATTAGAAACATAGGCACAAAATTTAAAAAGCTTGATAAAGTGCTAGTGGCTATCTGGCTTTTTCTTTGTTTTTCTTTTTCTTTCATGTTTTACAATTTTTTACTTGAAATACAGAAAGTAGTGTATGTAGCCAGGCATGTTGATTCACTCACGCCTGTAATCCTAGCACTGCGAGGCTGCAGCAGGAGAATCATTGAGTTCAAGACCAGCCTGGGCTACAAACTGAGCTTGATGCCGGCCTGAACTGCATAGTGAGAATTTTTCTCAAAAATAAATAAAAAATCGTATACTTAAAAGTAAAAGTGAGCAAGTGTTTGAGACTAATATCTGTGTCTTTGGTGAAAGTTAGATGCGAGTGGTGAATAGCACCACATTACAATTGTTTTAAGTTGCCCACTTTGCTTTAGTGTTTAGGAAGGGGCAGAGCACGGTGGATTACAATACTAAGTGTCCAGGAATAGTAATTATAAGGCTGCTCATAAGCTATAAAATTGGATTTGGGTAAATATGAGGAGCTTAGGTATGAAATAAACGTTTTGAGAATTCTAAACATGTGTTCACATGATGGAAGAATAATCCTTGGGCAGAAAGCATGCTGCCTAATTGTCCCCAGTTCAGGACATACTACGGATGTAGCTGTGGGGGGTCGTGGTGGGACAGGTACTGGTGCAGTGTCCCGCATGTATCCTGTAGTCCTTGTAGTCTGCCCTCTTTTTTAGAACTGTGTCCATTCAATTTCGGTTCAGAGTGTTTTCCTTGCCAAAACAGTGGAAAGATACATTCCTAACGACTTGTTTGCCACGGAAGTAATATTTTTAATGTTTCACACATGGCTTAGTTTCAGGATACACTTTCTGGAACTGGGGAATGGTTTTACCCCCACCCCCTTCTCTGTCAGATCTAGCAAAGGAGGGCTGAAGGCCCTCCAGTGAGCTTCCCGGCGGACACTCACTCAAGTGGGAGGGACAGTAAAGAAGCCTGAGTGAAATTCTAGGCCAAATCTGAGTTTGCTTAGGACAGAAAGGGTAAGAGTAGCAGGAACTGGCAGAGTAGCAGTGCGTAAGAGTGAGGGATCCGAACCGTCACTGCCCCTCTTCCCAAGGCACCTGGGTGTAAGGGGGATCCCTCCCTGGCACGATCATTCTCACACTCGCACCTCCAGAGAGGCAAGTTTCTTTGCAATCTTCAGCCACCTGTGTGAGGCGCTCCCCATAGGAAGGGTGGCGTGGTGGAAGCGAGCTCAGTCGCACCGCCCCGGAGCTTTGCTTGGTGAGGCTGAGCGTCCAAATACCTGCTGAACTCAAAGCATTTAGCTCCACACGGAGTCCGAGCTGAGCTGGCCCTCGTACATGGCCAGGATCTTAGTTCAGCATCCTCAAGGCTGACAGCTCTGGAGCCTGCCCGGTTTCCTGAGGTCCTCTCAGTCCTCTCCCTGCCACCTCTCCACCCCCAAAGTGGGGCTGCTGCCTCGCTCCGCCCGCGCAGCTCCCCGCGCGCCCCGAGCTTTATCAGCCTCTCCAGGAGCACCGCAGGCTTCCTTCGCTAGCCGCCGCCGCGGGCCCTGAGCAAGCAAGCGTCCCCTCCCGCTGGCGTCCACCGCGCTCAGGTTGCCAGCCGGGCTGGACCTGCTGCTCCGCTGCTCTCCACTCAGCCTCGCGCTCGGCCGGAGAAGCGGAGTCTGCACCCAGAAAGTCTCGGTGGCTGGAGCCGGCGGACTGGGCATGCTCAGAAGCCAGGGCTGGCTTTGGTCTCAAGTAGGAAGCTTGTGCACTCGGGAGGCAGCGGCGACTTTGGGGAAAGTTGATCGGAGAGGGGAGGAAGCCCCAGGACGCGGCGCAGCGGCGGGAAGGAGTCCCTGGCAGCCCGGAGGAGCATGGGCACCCTGCGGGATTTACAGTACGCGCTCCAGGAGAAGATCGAGGAGCTGAGGCAGCGGGATGCTCTCATCGACGAGCTGGAGCTAGAGTTGGATCAGAAGGACGAACTGATCCAGAAGCTGCAGAACGAGCTGGACAAGTACCGCTCGGTGATCCGGCCGGCCACCCAGCAGGCGCAGAAGCAGAGCGCCAGCACCTTGCAGGGCGAGCCGCGCACCAAGCGGCAGGCGATCTCCGCGGAGCCCACCGCCTTCGACATCCAGGATCTCAGCCATGTGACCCTGCCCTTCTACCCCAAGAGCCCACAGTAAGCGGGGGTTCCGCCGGGCACCCTGGCGGTGGGGAGCTGCGGGTCTCTGTATTGTCTGTCGGCCCCCGCCCTCCCGTTTGCCATGTCTGTCCTCATGCTCAGAAATGTTTCATTTTCACGGGCACTTCTTGCCGGGCTGTGCACGTTTCTCAGAGCTCAGAGTCACTGCACATACGTTGCCTTCGTGTCTTTGTCGGATGCTAACATATTTTTAAAAATATCCATGTGCATTCACATATGCTACGCACTGTACATAGAGTCTGAGTGTGCCCCAGGTGTGTGTCCGGCCGTGTGTGTGAGTGAAAAGAGGAATCAAAACCCAGTCTCGCCAAAGCCGTGGCAGACCTGGCCAGCCGGAAAATCCTAAACGCAGACACATCAGACTTGAAATGAAATGCATCTGATAGATCCCTCACTTTCTGTGCTCTCCTGGATTTCTCTACATACCAGCGCTTCACGCTGGCACCCTTGAAACCTAATGTTTGCCATCATCAAAGTATAAAAAATAAGTAAATACGCGTATAAAAAGGGACGCTGCTTGATTTTCTGAATTGGATGACATTTACGATCCATAAATAGAAGCCTAGTCTGTTGATTTTTTCAAAATAATTTTTCATAACATCTGAGGGAGAATATTGCTGATTTTCCTGGAGAATTTTTATATAATTGCTAATGAACAGACCCATTTCCCAAGAGGATAGCATGCTTGCAGGGACACATAGAGATAAGCACACTTACCTTTATTTATAAGGTGGACACATTGTTTGCCATACTTGAGGTTTCAAATAGAACCACTGTGCTTTGCTAGCATCTTACAGAACAGTGTAGTTCTGATGTCAGTGGGCTTCCTAACTTGGATGGGGAAATTGAATGAAAGTTGTTATACAACACTCAACTCAGAGCCCATATAGAGAGTAAGCTTCAGGAACATGAGATTAACAGAGAATGAAGGAGAGTCTCAAAGTGAATGTTACTTGTAATTAACAGATAATGACACAAATGACAAAGCAAAGCACTGTGTTGCTTTACTCTTTCATCCACATCACTCTGGCTGGATGACACGTGTTATGTAATAATGCAAGGTCCCTGGGAACCTTTCACTTCATAATCACAAGGAGTTAATGAAAGGAGAAAGATTCAACGCTTGATGATCTCCATTTGTATTTTTTGGAGGAGGGTTCAGGAGTATGCACTAATTATACTTCTGAAAACTTAAAAGAGTTATACCTGTACATGTTGCTTCCCAGAGAACATTTACAGTTAGTTTTTCATGCAGCTTTAGCTTCCTGAGGAGTTTGTTTTCTGGGAAGGGATGAGAAAGGGACAATGCGGATAAACATTTCTGAGATTCTTACCTTATGAAGTTGCTCTGATAATTCAGCAGACTTGGACCTTAGAAACCTGAGTGATCTGAATCCTCTGCCACTTTCTCTGGTAAATTAATTTGTAGTCCTGACATGCTTGCCTGTTTTAGCTAATGAGGTACATGGCCATCTCTCCTGGGCCAAGTTTTGCATAATGAAAAAAAAAAAAAAACTCAAAGACAGCACTTTGCATCTTTAAGCATTGTATTTTAGAATCTGCAGGACTTTGTACTAATACAGAGCAAACTCTGCTTTTATAAAAAAGCCATTTTAATGGGTTTTATAGTGAAGTATGATCAAACCAGCTGATAACTTCAGTTAAACATTCTATCAGAGAAGATCTAAAGGAAGATCTAGGAATCTAGGGAGTGGACTGTAGAATGTGGTTAACTTTTAGAAGGCTGTTAATGCGTGACATGTAGAATAACTAGATTTTTTTAAAAGGTCGATGGTGGAAAATAAAATTTCTGCAGCAAATAAGTCAGAATGACCCATTATAATAAATGTTTTATCTATTGAAAATGCTGTGCGTTCTGATACTTATTTAAGGACTTTAGTTTTAAAGAACTCCGTTTTTAAGGAATTGCCATGATGGTTTTCATGATTCTGAAGGATTATATTGAAGAAAATGATAGAATGTCTTCCAAGCTTAAATAATTTTGGAAAAACATCTGTTCGTTTTTCACACTTACATAAAGAAAACTAGAATAAAACTGGCTTGAATGGTAGAATGTACCTTTCTTAGGGAAAAAAGAAGCACATTGTATGCAAAATGAATATTATCTGAATAATTGTACAAGATAGCACCACATAAAATTAAGAAAATTTGCCAGCCAGAAAATGATTCCTGTGTTTCAATTATTGCATTTGAATTACTTGACTGTATAGAGACTTACTGGCAACAAGTGTTTAGTATACTTTAGTGCAACTTAAATGCAGTCATCATTGTTTAGATTACATATAGCTATTGTGAGTTCTAGTTAAAATGAAATCATCCAAATAGACTTTAATTGATTTCAGCCTCATATAATGTTAGTGTTTGATAGTCTTTTCATTAAATGTAGGTACCTGCCCAGATATTGCTCTGTTTAAATATTTGATGTATGCAAATATTTGTCTAGTTTGGCTTACTGAGGTTGCCTTTTGAGGATTATAATTTTTAAAACAATTCTATTTTTCTTAATGATGTTTTTGACCATCTCAAAAATAGTAAAAAATGTAAACTAACTTAATAACTAATCTTTTTAAAATTTTTGGTTTGGAATTTTTCCTTTAAGGTGAGAATTGGAAAGAAGGTTGTCAGATTTTAGCACAGAGCCAGAACACTCCTGCTGCATCTTTGAGTTGTAAGGAGTGTTTTTGTTGGTGTCTTTCACAACCTGATAGATATAATTCTTAAGGTCTTCTTGGGTTATAAAGATGCAAAGAACTGATCTAGGACATTGGAATGTAAAACTACTAGATCATATGTTTTTAAATAAATTGAGCAAATAAACCCTTAAAATGAAACAAACCTCTATGCATTCTGTATCATATAGGCTGTTGATTCTGAGAAACTTCTAAGATTAACTTTATTTCACAACATTTCATTCCTGAAAAATGGATCCTAGACTAGATTAAAATATTCACTGTCTGCTATTTTGATCTACTGATTGTCAGTGTTTCCAAATCTTTTCCATTTCAGTGTTACAACATTTCATGTCATTTTAGTTGAAATGTATAGATGTACATTTATATCAAAAGTATCAGTGCTGGATTTTTCTAAAGCTGTTGCTTTTCACTCCAGAGGTAGCTGTGTTTCAGAGGACGATGACATGTTCTGTTCTGTTTTACTTTGTGATTGTGATAAGAAGAATTACATTTTCTTATTTTTAAGGTGGTGTTAAGCTTAACAAGATAATATATGATTCTCTAAACCTTTTCACTAGTGTATGTCAAGAGAAATAGAATCTTTTAAAATTCAGTATGTACAATTCTGTAGAAAGTTGAGACAATTTTAGAATTCTAGTGTAACCATAGATGGCATAGTATGAAAACATAGCTTTCTTCAGAGTAGGAATTAAATTCTCCATATGTGCCTTAGGTCAGTTCAATACTTTCATGGAATATTTACCACATGCAAAGTGCTGTCAGATGTTCGAGGTAACAAATTCATATGTCCTGTCACCAAGAGTAAACAGGAATGAATGATATGCACAAATTAATTACTTTAGAAAATTTAGTATGGTGAGTGGCAGAGCAGATAAACTAAAACTTTTGGCTAAACATATGAAATCAATTTCATTGTATGGTATCAGAAACTCTTGTGGAATTTTTTAAAGTGTTTGAAGGCCGGGTCTGTGCTTGATAATGAGATGAGAGGAGGATAAATGGAAGTGGGCTAGGGGAGATATAGTCCAACTTGTTAGCAAATAAACAGGGACTATCTGGGGAAAGCAAGCCACTGGTGGTCGTAGTAGGTACCAGACAGACTTGAGAACAAGCAAGTTTGTGCCAGTGACAGGAGAATCTCTGTTGCTATGATTTTTTAAAGTAGACAAGAGGCCATTTCTACTTGTTTTAGAATAATCAAGAATCTCTGTGTGCATGTGTGTTTTATACCAAGAAACAGTTGTTGTTCATTAGTAAAGCTCTCACACTTAGAATGTGGTTTCAGCACTCCAGCCCTCCTCACCAAGACAGTCCTGATTATAATCCTGACTATACTAACCAGATAAGAATATTTAAGAAAGCTGCAGATGATTTAAACCTTTAAAGAAACCAAGTGCCATCATTAAAGAAACAAAGTTTTCCTTTTTCACTCACTTCAGAATATTTCATTTGAAAATGTCTAATTGTACGTCACAGACTGACATTGTTGATTCCTCACATAGCTAGATAAACTGGACATGGATGGGAATTGAACCTGATGTTGGGTTTTGAAATTCATCTTTCCTTTTTTGTGAAGGAGTTAAATTCTGACCTAACATGATTATAATAGTTTCCCACTTAAGTTTGATCATTAATTTCACATTATAGTCTATGCAGTGAAATTGCAGTTGTGGAACGTTTTCTAAAAATGTACAAGACCAGGCTGCTAAAATTCTATCGGGTGCTTTGGAGTACAGTCAAGCTATGTACCTCTGAAATATAGGGTTTATAGTAAAAATACTGACAAACACTTAACCAGAGTAGCTCTAGAGTCCGCCTAAGAATATAAATGACCAACTTCCCTTTCCATCAGGCCATATTTCCAAGCTCTGACCACTTGGTGTTTTACTATAGAGTTGGGTTTGGATTTCTAATGGAAGAGGGTAAAAGACAGGCAGTGTTTCTGTTGTGGCTGTTTGCAGGTTATAAGGCATATGGACACAATTTTTTCTCTGTCTGCTTAGTAATGGAGGGTCTCCATGGTATCCTAGCAACCAATTTGAACACCAGGCTGCTGCTCTTTGTGCCATCTTTGTCATAGGTGCCACTGCCCATCCCAAGGCACTGGGCCTGTTGCTAGCATACAAGGACCTCCGATGTGAACCTTGTGAGCCCAGAGAGCACAAGACAATGTGACAAATAACCACATACTGAAAGCAGCATTTACCAGCGTGTTCAACAGCTTATTATGCAATCACATCTGTGGCATTTCAAATCCTAATC